GAAAAGAGGCTCGGACCAGACCGTGGAATTTCCTAACATTTAGAAATAGATGAGCCAGGTGGTCGTGGTGGTGGTGCTCACCTTTAATCCCAGCACTCAGGAGGCAGAGGCAGGCGGATCTGTAAATTCAAGGCCAGCCTGGGCTACAGAGGGAGTTGTAGGACAAGAGAGAGAAACCCTATCTTAAAAACAAGACAGAAATGCTTTGAGAAGTGCCTTTGAGAGAAAAATAAAAGGAAATCTAAAAGGAATACAGGGAGGAATTAAGAGAAAAACAAATCACAGGATGTCATAATTACTGCCTCCCTAGTGCTGGGATTAAAGGCATGCGCCATCACTGCCTGGCTATTGGGGGTTATTTTTAATTTTGAGATTTTTCCCCTTTGTTTTATGTGTACGAATGGTTGCCTGAATGTGTGTCTGTGCATCATGTACAGGGCGTTGGATCCCTGGTACAGGAGGGAATTGAACTTGGATTCTGTGGAAGAGCAGCCAGTACTCTTAACCACTGAGCCATCTCTCCAGCCTGGGACTCCATTTTCTTAGTGTGGGTTTTAGCAGGCCAAGGTTCTAGCGCCCAGGTGATGGCCTCCTGATTTGGAGGGTAACCTCCAGCGGAGGGAGCGGATTTGTTTTTTTGGTATGTCTCACTGGAAGCTCAGCATAGAACACGCCTCTCTAGCTTCCCCCTCTCTGCTTCAGGGATCCTGCTCACGGTGAGGAAGTGCCACAGCGCATTCAGCTCGAAAGCCAGGAGATTGGACTGGAGGCTAGCCAGCTGGGTGCCACAGCCCCAGTGACAAGTGGAGCCGCGGGAGCAGACTAAAGATGGAGAAAGCACAAGAAGAGGTTGGGGATGGGACCACTCAAGAGAGGGAAAAGACCGGGGATGTAGCTCAGGGCTAGAATGCAGGCTTAGTGTGTGTGAGGCTTGGAGTTGAGTCTGCTGCACCCCAGAGACCGAAAAGAGGCTCGGACCAGACCGTGGAATTTCCTAACGTTTAGAAATAGATGAGCCAAATCACAGGATGTCATAATTACTGCCTCCCTAGTGCTGGGATTAAAGGCATGCGCCATCACTGCCTGGCTATTGGGGGTTATTTTTAATTTTGAGATTTTTCCCCTTTGTTTTATGTGTACGAATGGTTGCCTGAATGTGTGTCTGTGCATCATGTACAGGGCGTTGGATCCCTGGGACAGGAGGGAATTGAACTTGGATTCTGTGGAGGAGCAGCCAGTGATCTTAACCACTGAGATATCACTCTAGGCTTTTTTATTTATTTTTTGAAACAGGGTCTCATGTCATTTAGTCTGGTCTCAAGCTCTATGCAGAGGATGACCTTGAACTCTTGATCCTCCAGCTGTTCTACCTCCCAAGTGCCAGGGTTACAGGTTTGTGCCACAGTCCTCAGTGTGATGGATGGAGACAAAGTAGATGACATGTACTAGAAAGTAGGAGGAGGGGCCTATTGGCAGGAGGGAGGGCTCTAGAATATATCTCTGGGGCCTGTCTACACTGTATCTTTTTCTCTGTTTCCTGGGCACCATGCAGGGAGCAACTCTGTACCACCAGCCCCTCCAGCAATGATGGGCTTTTACCTCTGATCAAAATAAATTTTCCCCCATCAAATTCTTTGTTTTTCGAGACAGTTTCTCTGTGTAACAGGCCTACCTGTCCTGGAATTTACTACATAGACCAGGCTGGCTTCAAATTCACAGAGAGCCGCCTACCTCTGCCTCTTGCGTGTTGAGATTAAAGGTGTGCTCCACCATGCCCAACATCCATTAAGTTTTTTTTTTTTTAATGGCGGCTGGGCATGAGGGCACAAGCCTTGGATCCCAGAGCTCAGACAGATCTCTGGGAGTTCAAGGCCAGCCTGGTCCACATAGAGTTCTAAGACAGCCAGGGCAAAAGGGAAAAAAAGGAAGAGAAAAAAATCAGTTTATACTAGGTGTTTTTGTCAGAAGACATAATTGATGCAGATAATTGATTCAAGAGAAGAGGCGATTTCAAGATGTGGGTTGCGGCCAGCAGTGCCTAGCACTAAAGAGAAATAGTACTGAAATGTTCCTTTTATTGAACAACAAAGAGGTCTTTGTTAAGTTTTCTTTGGAATTATGGAAAGAGTGAATTTGGTTTCAGAGAACGAGCAAAATACAAATATTCCTTGTTTGGCGCTTAACCCTAGCCTGTTGAAAGAGTCAACGTAACCTAAGAGGCTCTCTGATGGACCAAAGATGCCAGTGTGGTTTGGACCCTTTCTCTCAGGAAGGGCTAGAATCTAGCTCTCTTTTCCTTTCACTGGACTGGACTCTGTGGCTTATCTTGGGCAGTGGAACCTCCGGGGCCAAGCCTCAGAAGCATCTTAGTCCCGGTCTCAGTGTTCCCTTTAATACAAAGGGATACTATCAGATGTCCCGGGGATCAGCAGGAGATACCGCATGGAAGAGAGCAAGGCTTCTGCCAGCCAGGAGAGCCCCACAGGCTAGTACCAACCAGACTTTAATTTTAATTTTACCACAAGGTTTCTCTGTGTAACAGTTCTGCCTGTCCTGGATCTCACTCTGAAGACCAGGCTGGCCTTGAACTCACAGAGATCCACCTGCCTCTGCCTCCCAAGTGCTGGGATTAAAAGTGTGCACTATCACTACCTGGCAGCTCAACTTTTTTGTTGTTATTGTGGTGCTGAACCCAAGACCCGGCTCCTAAGCTTTATTAACCCTCCGACCCGTTGTTCCTCTAGAAATATATCTAGGCCAAGTCATTAGAATAGAAATCTGTATCATAAAAAGCACTTCCACAGCTTTCATTACAGAATTGTAAGCAACGCTGGATATGGTTGCTTACACCTAGAATCCCACTACAAGGTATGTAAAGGCAAGAGGGTCAGGGGTTCAAGGTCAGTCTCAGCTGTACTGTCAATTGTACATGCATGGAATCCTGTCTAGGAGCTAGGAACGGGAAGATGGGCTCAAGGGGGTATAAAGGTGCTTGACCCATGACCTAAAGTTCTGAGTTCAATTCCCCATGATCCAGGTAGAAGGAGAGAACTAACTGCAAGTTTGCTTCTGACCCCCACAGGCAAACTGTGGTATGCATACACAACACACATGCATGCATACACAAACTGGCATGCATACACAACACACAATAATAACAAATAAATAAAAATCTTTTTTAAAAACTGCAAGCAATGTAAACAAAACGTTGTGTCTTATTTCTTCTATATTCCAATAGAGCTAGTGTGTAGAAATCCTCTTGTTTATTAAATGAATACAATAATTTTAATTATCCATAGTAATTACTTGGCAACTTAAAGATCCAAACTCCACTCCAAAATAAACTCTGTCACATTCTCTCCTCTTTTTTCCTTCTTGTTATCTGTGTCGCCTTCTCTTTTGACCTCCTGGAAACTGATTACAATTAGCATAGCCCAGAACATAACTAAGGCTCCATAAATCCTGCCTGTTACTAGGTCTGAGAGTGTGTCTCAGTGATAAAGTGTTTGCCCAATCTCAACCAGCAGCACCATAAAAAACAGCAACCTCAAAACCCATCAACACTAGCTCTCTTATTAGCCTGTCACTGGGAGGGCTGGAGAGCCAGCTGGGTGGTTAAGAACACTTGCTGCTCTTGCAGAGGCCCTCCCTCTGATCCCCAGCACCACATCAGCTATCTCATGACTCCATGGATCCAGCTTCAGAGGATCCTACACCTCTGGCCTTCAAGGCCACCCTATCCCAACACAGACACACACACCTATGAATAATTTATTAAAAATGAATCTTTGTAACAAGAATTTTAAAAGGTCTTAATAATAATAATAATAATAATAATAATAATAATAATAATAACGAGCCAGATATTAGGGTAAATTCTGAAAGATCAGAGAGATAGAACAAGCCACAGCCAACCTTACTTCGACAACTCCTCAGACGATCCTGTTTCCACGAATCCTCAGACTGAAGCCTCTGAGTCCTCACCCAAATGAATCTCAGCTGAACTGTGGCTAAAAGCCTCTAGTTCCTGGTTCTCAAGCCTTATATACCTTTCTGCTTCCTGCCATCACTTCCTGGGATTAAAGGCAAGGTGTGTCTTTCCCAAGCAAAGACGTTAGATCTCAAGTGCTGGGATTAAAGGAGTGTGTCACCACGCCTGGCTCTGTTCCCAGCGTGGCTTGGAACTCACAGAGATCCGGATAGATCTCTGCTTCCGAGTGATAGGATTAAAGGCATGTGCGCTGCCACTTTCTGGCCTCCATGTCTAATCTAGTGTCTGGCTCTGTCCTCTGATCCCCAGATAAGTTTATTAGGGTACACTATTAGGGTATACAATATATTGGGGTGCCCTATTGCTTCTGCTGTCCTCTTTTCCTTAAAAGCAGGAGCACTCCAGAGGGAAGGATTTCACGGAGAGAGAGGGTGGAAGGCACTGGGGTACCATCTCAGAGGCTGCCTAGCACATGTAAAATTTGCATATTAATTATGTAAATGTCCTGATGTCTTTGATTTTGAAAGCTAGGATTATTTATTAGTTATATACACTGAGGGCTTCTCTCCCATATTTTCAAATTCTAGTTTCTCCGTCTCTGGTGCTTTTGAGTATTGGGCAGGTGGGAATAAGAAATTGGAGGTTCATCTTTTTCAAAAGCCTTTTTTTTTTAGATTTTTATTTTATGAGTGTTTGCCTGAATGTATATCTGTGGACCATGTGTGCTCTTGGAGGCCAGAAGAGAACATCAGACCCCCTGGGGTTGGAATTGTATGTGGTTGTGTGCCTGAACTTGATTCCCAGAGCCCACATAATGGTGAGTGCTGGGAATCGAATGCAGGTCCTCTGGAAGAGCAGCCAGTGCTCTTAACGGCTGAGCCATCTCTCCATCTCTCCACCCCTGGATGTTTCCCTTTCATCAACAAATTTCTAGGACTTGTTCTATTTTGTAAATTGTCAGGTTTTTGGGTTTTTTTGTTTGTTTGTTTGTTTTGCCTAATGCAGTTATTTTATTTTGTGTAAGTTGTCCGTTTTATCAGACTGTTTAAATTTTTTTTTATGTTGTTGAGAGTTTGGGAGGTGGTTGGTTGATCGGTTTTACATTGTTTTGTTTGAGGCTGGGTCTGAGTGACCTAGAACCCGCGATCCTCTTGAGTGGTTGTCTGGAGTGCTGGGATTGTAACCGGCCCTTATCTTATTCTGTCTTTAATTGTACGTTTTATGTGCGGTGATGCTGCCGCAGCCTCCCTGAACAACTCCTCTACTTCCAGCATGGCTGCCGTCCGACCTCTCCGCCGCTCCCCTCCTGCTCTGCTGGCTTCCCATGGCTCCATACGTTAGCTGCTGATTGCATTCCAGATCTCCCTGATCTCCCTGTGCATTCTCAAACCATTGACTCCCCTAAAACGCTGGCCTCCAGATTCTGCCTAAGATTCTGAGTATTTGAAGTTACTGTTTCAAGCCTCCAGCTCCACTTAATCCAATTAGTCAGAGTTCGGGTCCTCATGTGCTAACCATTATGTCAGCTAGTAATGAGTAAGACCCAGCCTCTGCCATCAAGGAACTCTCAGCCTAATGGAGATTAGAGATACGGGAAAGAATTTCAGGAAAAGAAGGAGGTTACATAAATAAAGTTAGCTTGGCCGAGATACAGAGGGGACCAGGTTTGGTTTGGGGGACGAGATGGCCTCGAGGCTGAGCTTTGATGGACAAATACAATGTTCTGTAGCCCAGGTTTTCTGAGGACATATGTCTGCTGGCGACCAATTCCAAGTTTTGCGTTTGGCCGTTACTTCATCGCTGGACACACACCACTCCCTCTCCCTCCCCTGCACCCCGCCTCATGCAATTCTCCTGT